CAGGGTCGCTATGGGTCGGAATCGACTCAATGGCACTTAACAACAACAACAACAAGGGAAAAATACTGAATGATGCAGAAAGCATCAAAAGAAGATGGAAGGAGGGCAGGTATAGGAGAGAGAAAAAAAATGAAGTGAATCGAGATAAATACTGTTAACTGATGGTACATGGAGTGGATTGCAATCATTGTAATGACGTGAAGTGTATAATTTGTTGAATGTAAACCTCCACTCAATTCACAATAAAAAGTAAAAGACACAAAAAAAGTTAATTACCCCCAGAAAAGAAGACAGAAGGAATACATAGAGTCACTATACCAAAATAAAATGTTCAGTGTTCAGCCATTTCAAGAGGTAGCAACCAATGGTAGTGTAGTGAAGGAAGAAGTTCAAGTGGCACTGAAGGCATTGGCAGAACACAAGGCTTCAGGAATTGATGGAATATAAATTAAAATCTTTCAACAAACTGATACAGCACTGGAGGTGCTCACTCATCTATGCCAAAAAATTTGGAAGACCTGGCCAACTGATTGGAAGAGATCCATATTTGTGCCCATTCCAAAGGAATGTGGAAATCACTGAGCAACATCATTAATATCACATTCAAGGAAAATTCTCCTTAAAATAATCCAAACACTGCTGCAACAGTACATTGACAGGGAACTTCCAGAAATTCAAGCTGGACTCAGAAGAAGACAGGCAACAAGGGATATCATTGCTGACATCTTGGTTGAAAGCAGAGAAGACCAGAGAGATGTTTACTTGTGCTTTATTGACTATGCAAAAAGGCTTCTGTCTGTGTGAACCATGACAAACTATGGATAACATTATGAAGAATGGATATTCCAGAATATTTAATTGTGCTCATGATGAACCTGAACATAGACCAAGAGACGGTCCTTTAGAACAGAACAGGGGATACTGAATGGTTTAAAATTAGGAAAGGTTGTACCATGGTTGTATTCTTTTACCATACTTATTCAATTTGTATGCTAAACAAATAATCTAAGAAACTGGATTATATAAACAAGAATGCAGATCAGAATTGGAGGAAGACTCACTAAAATCCTGAGATACGCAGATGATATAACCTTGCTTGCTGGAAGAGGAATTAAAATACTCACTGATGAAGAACAGAGACTACAGTTTTCACTATGGATTGCACCTTACTGTAAAGAAAACAAAAATCCTCCCAACTGGACCAATAAATATAACATCAAGATAAATGTAGAAAAGACTGAAGTTGTCAAAGACTTCATTTTGTATGGATCCACAATTCATGGAAGCAGCAATCAAGAAATCAAATTATTTAAGCCAATGTGCTACAAAAGACCCATTGAAGTGTTCTAGAGCAAAGACATCAGTTTGCAGACTAAAGTGTGTTTGACACAAGCCATAGTCTTTTCAATAGCCTCATATGCATGTGCAAGTTGAACAAAGAGTTAAGCAGACCATAGAAGAATTGATGCATTTGCATCAGGATGATGGAGAAGAATATTAAAAGCACCATGGACTGCCAGAAGAACAAACCAATCTGTCTTGGAAGAGGTACAGCCAGAATACTCCTTTAGAAATTAAGATGGTGAGACTTCGTCTCTCATACTGTGGGCACATCAGGTGGGGACCAGTCCCTGGAGAAGGACACACAGTTTGGTAAAATGGAGGGCCAGCGAAAAAGAGGACCCCCAACGAGATGGACTGACACAGTGTAAGCAGGAATGAGTTCAAATGTTGTGAGGATTGTGCAGGACTGAGCAGTGTTTCATTCTGTTGTGCGTAGGATCACTAGGAGTCAGAAGAAGCCTGGACAATACCTATCAACATTAGTATTTGCATATAAATGATGTAACAGAGTTCTTCAAATTCACCCCTGAATTCATCCCATATGTGAAGAAGGGTATTCCCTTGTTGTAACAGCAAGAGATTGAAAACAACCTGAACTCTGTTCTAATAGGGAGTGGTGAAACAGGTGGTTAAGATTCATTTGTCAGTGTGTGTGTTCTACACGTTCCTTTGTATACATACACACACACACACACACACACATCTCTGGAAGGACTGTACAGGAAACATACCACTGGTGGCCTTGGAGAGAGGATTATAGGATGAGAGACGGCTAGAAGACAAGGGAAGAGATTTTGCTTTGAGTCTTATGTTCCTTTTGAGTTTTGAATCATGTGACTGTATTCATGTTCATACACCACAGATGTTGGAATGTCTGGGGGAACAGCTAAGTCAAGTAGGCTGACCGCTCTGGCTCTGGAATGGCTGGGGTGTGGAGAAGACATCCAACTCTGATTCACCTATGGTTTGCCTGGCAGATGGTGGCAGGTACGGGCTTGACCCTCAAGGTCTACAACTGCCTAGAGGACTTCCTAGGATCAGCTGATGAGAGTGGTGGCAACATGCCTCCATAAATGACTCGCGAGTCTAAAAACCACTCTCGTGGGAACCCCTTGCTCATTTCCAATCTACAACTGAAGGCTCTAAGGGAAGGACTCTGGAATCAGCTCCCTGAGGTCAAACTTGCCAGCTGCCTCAGACCTTTGAGGGTTTATACCCCCAATCTGTGCTTCTGTGAAGAGAAAGAGCAGAACTTACCTGGTGCCAGTAAGCCTTACATGCTATGTGTGCTATCTTATTACCCATGAATAAATTAGCATCTGCTCTTAAATCTGGTACCTGGCCGGATTATAATGAAGCCCAGCAGTTGCTCAAACCACCCTGGGGTGGAAGTAGAGGAAGTCACTAGAAAACCAAGAGCCCTAGGAGTGCTGTTATGGTGCTGACACAAAGAGGTAGCCTCTTGAGTCAGACTGACCTGTTATCTGTCATCCCTCTAGGACCAACCTCTAACTACGGTTCCCCAGAATGACATCTGGCTGCAGCTCTTGCTATTGCAGGCACAGTGCTGGAGACACAGCCTGACACACCATAGTCTCCCAACACGACCGTGGCTGAGGTCTGCTCTCATCTTAACCTACGCTCTAGTTTTCCTCCAAAGTCCCAGACCAACCACTCTTGTTAGATCCCTGAATGAGGAGAGGGGTGCCCCATTTCCTGCTGGGTCCTCTATACTCTCTCTGTCTCTCCTCACTTTACAGCTGCACCTAGAGTACCTTGCGGCCCTGCTCAACACTGCCACTTGGAGCTTGGCTGAGCACCTCCCACTCTGCGTGATCAGAACGGAAAGCCCTTCTCCTCAACTGCTCCTCCCTCTCCTGTCTCAAGGCCACCAACAAACAGCACCGTTCTCAAGGATGTTCAACTCTCAAATCTAGGCATGATCATCGACAGATGTCCATCTTTCCTGGCCCCATTCCAATCCATCAGCATGTCTTCCACGCACACTCCCTAGGTCCATCTGCCTCTCTTTCCCGTTGCCACCAGTACACACCAAGCCACGTCCGTCTCTTGCCTCAACTACTCCAGTGGCTTCCTCCCTGCCTTCCCAGCAATTCATCATCCTCCCTGCAGCCAGTGCCATGTTACAAAGGCAACTGGGATCCCATCTCTCCCTGTTCCTTCCCGCCCAGCTACTCATTCAGGAGCACGTACAATCCTCAGACTGGCTTCCACTGTCCCAGCTCACTCTGCCCTGCTCACTCCGCTCCCGGAAACTCACCTTCTGAACCTCACAGAGCCAGCTTCTTGCCTCCAGCTCAGCCCCCATGGTACCCCTCCATGGCTTTCCTAGTCCCCATATCTGGCTGGCCCTAGGTTACTTTCTACCCATCCCGCCAATTCTGAGGGCAACACTGTCCCTCCACCACCAGCCTCCCTTGACACAGAAGTTGGCCATGTGGGCAGGGACCTGTCTTTCTTGCTGGTACCAAAACAGGGCCTGGCATAGGGGAGGGGCTGTAGAGCCACAAATAAGTGAATGATCACAGACAAGGGAGCTTCGAGAAGTTTGTGGAAAAATTCCAATCTCTTCATTCCATCTTTCCACGAATTTTATAAAACCTCCTTGTATATGGAAACCCACTGCCTCACCAAGAAGGCCCAAGAGGTAGAAAAGTGCCAACAGGCAGAAAAGGTAACATGGGGGTGGGGTGGCAGTGTGTGCCTAATGTGGGAGAATCTCCCGGAATGGTGGGCTGTGAGCTGGACACAGCTCCCTCGCCTCAGGGACCTGCAGCCAGGCCGTGGCCATGTGTCTTCAGCCAGCGACCACCCCTCACAAACCCCTTCCCCCAATTGTGCTTTGTGTGAATAAACAACCCTGCAACTCACCCTTAAGGAGGGGAGGGAAACCATGTGAAAGTCACAAAAATATATTAAAACAGCTGTGGCCGTCTTCTCCCTCAGCCCTCCCTTTCCAGAGCCCCTGCCCGTCACCCACCACGGACTTTGAGAGGAAAAGATGCCCAGGGCAGGGAAAGTGAAGTTCCCTGGTTATGGCTCAGGATCAAGGCCGCCCCTACATCCCGGGAGTGGATGGTGGCTTACAGGCTCTACAGGCTCGATGTGGTGTCCACTGGAAGGACCGAGGTTTAGGGGGGTCAGGCAGGATGCAGCAGACAGTTGGGTCTTGGCACAAAGACAGAAGAGAAATGAACAGAGTGAAGACAGGGAGAGACTGAAGACATTAAAGCAACTGAGGGAGGCACAGATGAGTTGGGGTGGGGGGAGACAGCAGGTTGGGGTACAGGAGCCCCTCTAGTGAGACCCCCATAGCAGGCAGGGAAGAGAGGGGCTGCTGAGGGGAAGAAGGGAGTGTAGAGGGAAGTGGGTTTTGCCAAGGCCACTTCTCGAGAGGAGAGCACAGAGGGGCCTGAAAGAAGGGAAGGTCCCAGAGTGGGCAAGGCCAGACCGTGGCAACCATCCCAGTCTAAGAAACTTCTGGGGTGAACTCCTAGACTGCTCAGGCCTAGCTTGAATGCCTGAGGGAGACAGGCAGTGCCATCCAGAAGTTGGCAGGGTGGGCTGAGTGAGCCCCGTGGAAGACTGCTGGAGTCAGGAGCTGGAGAGGGGCCATGCCCCGCCCCACACGAGGGCTAGAAGGTCCTGCGGCCCAGTCGTTTGAACACGCTCACAGTGCCTGCGTGGTCCATCTGGGCACCGAGGCCCTCGCTGGAGCTGCTCCCCCGGGGCCCCACCAGAGTCCTCTGAATGGTGACCTTGACCTCGGCCGAGGACTTACTCTTGGTGCTCGTGACCTGGCTGTCCTGGGCCTCGGGCACGAGGGTGGCCTTGCCCAGTCTCTGGATGATGCTGACTTTGGACAGGGACTCCGGCTTCTTCTTGGGCCCAGGGCACGGGGGTAGTGCCAGGCGTCGCAGCGACGGGGTGGCGGTGGTAGCTGCTGAGCTGGTGGCCTTGGCTTTGACAGTCAGTGCTGGCTGGGGGCTGGCCTTGGCTGGACCCCGGCCCAGCTTCTTCAGGACGCCGGCATACTGGAGGACAGAGCTGCTGCTGTCAGTGTCGCTGTCCCAGGCCAGGTCCTCCTCCATCTCAGGGGTGGCCCCCAAGCGGCTGAAGACTCCTGTGGGCTGCAGGGTCAGGAACAGGGCAGAGGAACCACTCGGTTACTCAACATGCACACTCAGACAGACGTCTGCTCTGTGCCGGGCCTTGTGGCTAGAGACACAGCAGTGACTGAGACAAGCCCATTCCAGGCCTCCAGAGCCCATCAGTGGCACCCCAGAGAGTGGACAGAGCGACACTGGGAAAGGAAGGACCTAAGCTGGCCTGGGACTTTCAGGAAGTCTCCCTGGAAGAAGGAACATCAGAGACGAGACCAAAAAACTTAAAGGAAGAGAGTTTAACAAGGACAGGAAGAAGAAAGGAGGAGCCAAGCAGAGAGTATCATTTGCAAAGGTCCAGCGGTGGGCTGGTGGGAAAAGATTAAATTGGTTGCTCATCAACAACTATTTTCTGAGTCCCAATTCTGTAGCTGGCCCCATGCTGGGGACACAGTGATGACCAAGACAAGGTCCTTGTGGGGCTCCGTGTCCAGTGGCAAAATGGCAATGACACAGGTAATTCTGTAACCACCCTGGCATGCTCTCTGAAGGAGAACAGAGTGCTGACTGACAAGCAGGAGACAGGGAAGTCTCGGGTCCTCTCTGAGGTCAGGAAGGCCTGCCCCAGGGCACCAACTTTGAAGACAGGCCCTGAAGGATGAGTCAGCAGGGAAAAGGCAGGAATAACTGCTACATGAGGGGCTTCAGAGCAAATGATGGAATTTTCTCATGAATGGTTTGAAGCTCTCTCGTATTTACTGAGCACTTGCTTTATGCCAAACTGCACGGCTGGTTCCTCAGAATGATCCTGGGCATTCTACTCAGACAAGAGGTAAGCAAGTGAGAAAAGACTGATGTGGCTGGACCCAGGGGAGCAAGGCACTACAGGGAGGAAACCTGGAGTCAGGGCTCAGCAGCGGTGAATTACAAGCGTCATTTAAAGGCATTCACTAAGTACAGACAAGCCCCACTCTGGGGAGGGAAGCTTCCAGCGTGGAGTGGAGGGGAGTTGGCATCAGACTTGTTAACTGACCGTAAGGGGAATGTAGGGCATCTGAGATAGGGCCCTGGAGATGAGTGGGTTTGGGGGAAAATATTAAGGTCAGCTGGTGACAGAGTATGAGGGACCTAAGGACATTCCAGAGCAGGTGTCCAGGACTCTGGAAACTGGGAGAGAGGGTGGCAGAAGACAGAAGGGTGGCCGGTGCAAAGATGGGCACTGAAGCAGAGACAGGCCTGAGGGGCGAAGGATAAGGGTGAGAGGTGGGCTGCCTGAGGGAGGGGGAATGATAGGAATGGGGGAAGACAAGAGCTTAAATTCCAAGCTGCTTCCTTCCCCGTTTGTAACTCACCTTATTCCCCGTCGTCGTGTCTGCCTTGGTCTCGGCGCCCAGGCGGTCAAACACAGACGTTCTGTGGAGACCTGGGAGGGAAGTGAGGCAGTCAGTCATGGAGTCAGGCCCAGGCCCAGCATCGTGAGGAGACACCAGGGAGGGGATGTTGCGCCTGGCAGACACCAGTCAGCCTGGTACAAGCAGGGCCGTGTCCATCCATACTCTTGGTTAACACTGACCTTGACCCACAAGCATCTAGATCAGATCACGTGCAGGAAGTATCAACTAAAACAGACACTTGAATTCCTCAGACCCAGTACAAGGCGCAGAGTGTGCGTGCAGCAGCCTTTCTTCAGCCCTGTTCATTCCTTGTATGCTTTTCTTGGGTCACAGAGCTCTAAGGATCTGATGAGAGGATGAGTCTTCTCCCCAAATACCAAATGAAATCCCCATTAGCAAAAAGAATGCTCATAAATGAAGGTCAGTAAATATTCTGGAAATTAGCCATCAAAAAAGAATGAAGTAACCCTTAGG